TAAATGAGAGAGAATCCTGGAGGACAAGCCACTACTGTTTGTTGAATGGGACAATCATGGCACATCCCAGAGGCAGGGTTCTTGCTGGGGTTGTTTCCAGGAGAGGAACCAATTTCTTTCAGATATTGGCAGAGTAAACTTTTTACTATACAGGCAAAATCATGCCATCATCCTGCTCTTTAACCTTCCATGGAACCCTGGTTCCTTCCAGATAAGCCCTATAAATTCTTTAAATTTTTTTTATTTTATGTGTATGAATGTTTTGCCTGCATATATGTAAGTACACCCACATCACACGATGCCCACAGAGGCCAGAAGAGGGTATCTGATTCCATGGAATTGGAATTATGGATGCGTGTTAGCTGCATGTGGGTGTTGGGAACCAAACCCAGGTCTTCTGCAAGAACAACCAGTACTCTTAATTGCTGAGCCATCGCTCCAGCTCCAAACCCTACATTCTTTTTTTGGTCTTTTTGAGACAGGGTCTCCCTGTAGCCCTGTCCACTTGCCCCATGAACTTGCTATGTAGACCTGGAACTTGCTATGTAGAACCTGGAACTTGCTATGTAGACCAGGCTGGCCTCGAACTCACAGAGATCCGCCTGGCTCTGCCTCCCAAGTGCTGGGATTAAAGGCATGTGCCACCACATCTGGTGAAACCCTACATTCTTTATCTGGACCAAAAAGTTCCCGCATGGTCAAATCCCTGAAGGTGTTCCTATCTTTGCTTCAGTCTCTTACTATACTTATAGCTCTTGGGTCACACACACTAGTCTCTGGCCATGTCTACTGTGGTCAATCTTCCAGTCTGGTGTTTCTCTGGGCCCTTTGCTGGAATCTTGCCTTCCTTGTCTGGCTATTCCTTCATATCCTTTAGAATTCTTTCTCAGTGTCCATTCTCAGAGTCTCCTCTGTCTTCTGCTGGATCTCTGGTTATGCTAACATCTCTGGTTTCTTCCTCAGTACCCAACACTCTACCTTCTCCACAAGGCATTGATCATCCCCAACAAGTGTTTGCTGAATTAATGAATTAAAAGAGAAACATTCAAAGAAAAAAGAGAGATCAGTGCACACCGGCTAAGAATCCCAACAGATATCTCTCAGCAGGGTAGGAATCAGAATAAAGTAACCATGGTTTACAGAAAAAATGGAGGCTAAGGTAATCTGACCTTGACTGGCATCCAAATTCCTGCATACCTGTGTGTCAGACATGCTGGGTTTGTTTTTTTTGGTCTTTTTGAGTCAGGGTCTCCCTGTAGCCCCAGCTGTCCTGGAACTCACTATGTAGACCAGGCTGGCCTTGAACTCACAGAGATCTGCCTGCCTCTGCCTCCCCAGTGCTGGGATTAAAGCTATGTGCCACCACACCCGGCTCATGCTGGGCTTTTTGCAGCATCTGTTGGGTGTGCAGGCTAGAGCAAGGGATGGGAGGCTCAACACACAGGTGAGAGTCATGGTCCTCAAACCTTGCATGAAGGGATCTACCTCCTAGTCCTTAATTCTTCACAGGCTAGTAAAGGGTTAAAGGAACTGATGTGTGTCAAGTGCTCAGTAGTGTCTAATGCATAGGAACACATTCAGGAAGCATTGATTCTTATCTGTCTCAAGATGAGAAGTATAGATCTAGAATAGGTTCCCAAATTGTGAGCAGCCAGAGAACATCCCAGAACCCCACTCTACAGGGACCCGCCCTTGTCCCCTGCTTCAGGATCCTTGTGAGAATATATGGTCCTAGGCAGATTTTCAGCTCAGTTCCAATATGTATGAGACACTTGACCAGGGCATGGTGAACTGGCAACTGTGGTTGAAGACTGTCTAGATAATTCTACTGTAAGAAGATGGGAGGGGCCTCAGGTGTTATCCAAGGAAGTCGGAGAGATATTTTCTGAAGTTCCAGTCTTCACCAGATTTGTCAGTAACCAGGTCACCCTCAGTTGACAGTCCTCCTTTGGCCTCCACCTGGGGGTGGGGAACAGGAGGTCAGGGAGAGGGGTTCCTTCAGGGTAAGAGTGTGCAGAGGTTTGCCAACTGCTGTTCACATCTCAGCATTTTTATTCAACACCTTTTCCTGAGGCCACAGGTTCTCTGGCACAAGATCTTGTATTTGCTTTCCTAGTTCCTAGTAGTACATTGCCTAGAATGCAGGAAATGGTTGTTGAAGGAAGCAATGAATGAATTTCAGCATTCATCAAATGCTCAGTCTGTAATTAGGTGTTAAGTGTAGATTGATTGTCATAGGTTCCTCCCAGTCGCCTGTGCCTTGCAGGCCACAGGTGTGGAAACTGAGGCTGAAAAACAATTTCTTCAAGACTATCCAGTGGCAATTCCAAGGATCTCAAAATGGCTATGCACTGGGAAGAGCCTTGATGTTTATAATTGGGGTGATTGGCAGAGGGAGTATTAGTCAGAAATGCTAAATTATTAGCTGGAATTATTAGGTGTGAAAAAGGATCCAGTTAGAGCTTCCTGATGGGGTTAGCAGCTACTCCTTGGTAGAACAAAAGGCTGGTCCTATGGGGCAGGGCTCTGAGTTGTTCACCCAGCTCTTCTCTGACCAGTTGTAGCACAGAGAAAACTGTCAGTCAAGTTTGCACCTGGAAACAAGTATTTCCGTCTCCAGCAGAAGGAATCTCTCTGAGGTCACAGCACTGTCACTGCTCTGGTTCCACAGGGCACTTTCTCTAACAAAATCCACTTGCTCTCTTGGCAGGGATGGAGTTCCAGTACTTAGTCAAGGTGTTCTAAGGGCTTATTTATTTTTGAGCCTCCTCTAATGGATTGTGGGTACTGAACAGCAAACAGCTGGAAATATCCTGAGCTGCCTGCTGGCTGGGGTTAGGCACCAGGTGTGGCAGGGGGTGGGAGGTGGGAAGAAGAAGTTTAGCTAGCTCAGCACTGATACTTGGCAGGAGAAAGCCAAAAGTGGCTCTTCTCCCTAGTGGGGTCTAGTTAACAGAGGGCCCGGGGTAAATACTCTTCTGGGGCAATAACTATGCACATTTACTAAGCCCCAGGAGGCATGGTGGTCACGTGGCCCTCGAGGGCGGCGCCCTCAGCTTTGAAATGAACTCCTAATCACCGAAGGCTTTCTGGAAGAGGCGGAAATTCTATGGCGGTCCAATGTGGCTTTGTCTCTACAAGGATGCACTTAAAGCTCTAGGGACCTAGTCACTCCTGAGGTGAGCTTCTTGCTGGGAAGCAAGCCCAGGAAGCGACGGGGTTCGGGCAGGGAGAAGAGACTGGGGGGACTCGAGTCTCGGGACCAGGCCTAGCTTGGATTTCCCGACCTGTCCTTCCACTCTCTTTGAGGAATGGACAACGTCACAGCCGTACTAGGTCGGTGCTGCGGGGCCTGGGTGCTGGGTACACGCCACGAAGTCCCTAGCGCCCAGGAGTCGAGCGTTCCTAAGCTAGGGGTTGTGCCTGCAGGCTTGGCCGGGCCAGCTAGAATGTCCGCCCTCCCGGTGCAGTCCGACTGGGGTCCTGATGCCTGGGCCGCAGGGGTGAGGCGCGCTCGAGAGGGCCATCTGCCTGGGTGCGGAGAACTGCAGCGTCCGCGCTGCGAGGCCCTGCCCCGCCCGGCCCCCAGCCTCGGGCGCCCGCACCTATCCAAGCCCGCCAGCGCCCGCAGCCCGGGCCGCTGTGCCAGGCCCAGACCCAGACTAGGCGCGGGAGGCGGTACAGGGATTAGTGGACCCCTCCCCCCCAGCTCCCCTCGCCCCGCCCGAGGTAGCGAGGACCCCCTAGGCTCGAAGTTGGCGCGGGAGCCTCGTCCCTGCAGTGCCCGGGTTAGGGACTCGACCTCACTGGGCGGGGGCCATACAACGGCAGGCCGAGGTGCGGGCGCGCTGTTAGGCTACATCCCGGTAGGGGTGTGGGGCGGGGGCTTAGTGCTAGGGTCTCTCGGCCTTATCCCTCCGCCGAGGCCACGGCCCTGCGGCCAGTGCCCGGGAGTGTAAAACGACCCGATTCCGAGAGCTGCTCATCCCGCACGGACCGGCACGGGGAAGGAGAGGAAAGGGGGAAGGGGGAAGGGAAGGGGTGGTGGGTGAGGGGCTGTGGGGACCGTAGGGCCGAGTCCCCGGCTCTCCAGCGCTGCTCCAGGGCGGCTGCCCGAGGCTCCCTGGAGGAGCCAGCCCCCAGCCTAGCGGGCGTCGAGCCTGCGGCAGAAGGGAGCCCCAGGGCTGGACAGGCTTGGCTCGGGGAGGCAGACCCGAGCTGCTGCCTCCATTTTGTTTCCTGTTCATCTTGGTCTGTGGTGGTGATGGTGTGGGTTTGGGGTGCGGCTGGGCAGGGGGTTCACCTGCGGCCACGTCTGCTCGGGGCCTGAGGCCTCGAAGACCCCATCCCAAGCCGCCAGGTGAGCCCTGTGGCAAGAGGGGGGTTGACTTGGCCTCGGGCCGAAACGAGCCGGCTGAGGGCAGGTGCCCAGTGGATGGGGAGCCCGAGCTGTAACCCAAGATGGAGGCCGGGACTGACGCGGGCCAGAGCAGGGCCGGCGGGGCTCTATGACAGGCCTCAGCCCGGCCAGGTGTCGCCGGGGTTGGGGTTCAAGCTGAGATAGGGTGCGGTGGCTGTGTGTAGCCAGGGGCTGGCGCAGCGCCCCGAGGTAGGTGAAGGGATCGGAATGCCACCCACGACGCCCGCAGGCCCCGACACTCCCCGGAGGCGCGCGAGGCCCCCAGGGAGCCTGCTGTAGGCCCCGCCCGGACTGCCGGGCCGGCCCGTAGGCCCTGGCCGTGAGCCGGCGCACCAGGGTAGGGGAGGGGGCGGCAGCGGCAGCTCCGCTGATTGGGCCGCGCGCTCTCGAGCCCGACTTCACCCGCCCTGAACCCCGAAGAGTGAGGCATGGGAGCGCGCGCAGGGTGGGGGAGGGAGTGCGCGCGCACCCGCCGCTTCTGTCGCACGCGGGCCAGCCGCGCTCGGTCGCACGCGCCGCCGCGGGGGCGCGCGCGGTGGGGGTGTGAGGAGGAGGAGGAGGAGGAGGAGGAGGAGGCGGAGGCGGTGGCAGCGGCGGCGGCGGAATAGGCCGGGGCAGGTCGCGTTAGCTACCTTCTCGCCTGAAGAGAAACGCAGGGGGGAGGGGGGTGCGGAGAGCGGCTCCTCTCTCAGTCCTCCGCTCCGCTCGCGCCCCAGTGTAATGAGGGTCACCCCCTCCCCCCAGCTGGCCCGGGAGGGGGCACGGGGCACGGTAACTTGTGCGGAGGGGTGGGCCACGGGCGGGAGGGGGAGGGAGGAGGCGGCGGGGCCTGGAAGATGGTGGTGGCGGTGAGGTGAGGGACTCGGTTGAAGGTCGGTTGCCGTGCGGGGTTAGTGGCTGGCGGCGTTGCCGCTGAGACCCTCTCCCCCTCTTCCATCACTACCAGCTGGGCTCAGGCCTAGCTGGCCGTGCTGCCAGGAACTTCCTCCCCGCGCGGCCCGTGCACCGCCGGCCGTCCACCCGCGCGCACCTCGGCCTCTGCTTCCCGGCAGGTAGCTGGCTGGGGGGCGCGGGGGCGGCTGCCCTCCCGCAGCAAACTTTGCTTGCTGCTGACTGTTGATGCGTGCCAGCAGCACTGCCGGGAGGTGCTGCCGGGGCTGAGGGAGGGAGCGCGGCCCGGGCAGGCGGTGTCGGCGTCGGCAGCAGCCATGTTTGTCAAGCTGTAGCAGCTGCTGCTAACCCTTACTCGGCTTTGCCGGCAGCCTGGGTTTCTCTCCTGGCTGTGTCTGGGTCTCTAGGTCCTGCACCTGCGGACCCAGCAGGCTTGCAGTTAGGACGACGAGCTCTTGGGCACACCCGCCTCGGCCACCTCGCTTGAGGCCTGCGCAGCCACTGTCGTTGGAAAGGCTCCGGCGCCGGCTGGGCGCAGGGTGCAGCGCTATTGTGACCGCTGCTCCCAGTTTATTGAGAAGGAGGAGGGATGCCTTTTTGTGCAGCTTCCAGAAGCGCCCCTCGAAATCCGCAGCCCCTTCCCTTTAAGAGATCTGACCGCAGGATTCTTGGCGTGGGTGGAGGATTCCAGTTAGAGATTTGGGGATTTTAACTGCCAGAGGGATTTTAATTTTAGTTCAATCCTGGTGTCCACCAGTCTGCAGTGCAGGGAAAAGGAACGGGCTGTTTCCATGTGGCAAGATTTGCCCAGCTCCGGGAAGGTGTAGTTTGCCGAGACTCACTGAGGCCATTTTTCCGTCGTCAGCCTGGAGAACTTTTTCAACACTTTGGAAGTGCAGCAGAGAGGCCACTAGGCCTTGAGAAGTGGCTGCCATTTTGAAGAGACAAGTCAGATGGTCTATTAACTCAGATTAATTGTTGTGTTTTTGGATTCCAGGTTGATGCTGGCCCAGTATGGATCAGTCCTGTGAACTATCTAGAAGAAATTATCTGCTGTCCTTTTCTAATCCGGTGAATTTAGATGCCCCTGAAGACAAGGACAGCCCTTTCGGTAATGGTCAATCCAATTTTTCTGAGCCACTTAATGGGTGTACTATGCAGTTATCGACTGCCAGTGGAACATCCCAAAATGCTTATGGACAAGATTCTCCATCTTGTTACATTCCACTGCGGAGACTACAGGATCTGGCCTCCATGATCAATGTAGAGTATTTAAGTGGGTCTGCTGATGGATCAGAATCCTTTCAAGACCCTGCAAAAAGTGATTCAAGAGCTCAGTCGCGAATTGGTTGCACTTCCTTGAGTCCTGGTGGTCCAACAGCACTTGCTATGAATATGAAACAGGAACCCTCTTGTAATAACTCCCCTGAACTCCAGTTAAAAGTAACAAAGACGATCAAGAATGGCTTTCTGCACTTTGAGAATTTTACTTGTGTGGACGATGTAGATTCTGAAATGGACCCAGAACAGCCAGTCACAGAGGATGAGAGTATAGAGATCTTTGAGGAGACTCAGACCAATGCTACCTGCAATTATGAGCCTAAATCAGAAAATGATGTAGAAATGGCCATGGGAAGTGAACAAGACAGCACACCAGAGAGTAGACATGGTGCAGTCAAACCGCCATTCTTGCCATTAGCTCCTCAAACTGAAACACAGAAAAATAAACAAAGAAGTGAAGTGGACGGAAGCAATGAAAAAACAGCCCTTCACCCTGTCCCCTTTTCACTAGGAGATACGAACGTTACCATAGAAGAGCAATTTAACTCAATAAATTTATCTTTTCAGGATGATCCAGACTCCAGTACCAGTACATTAGGAAACATGCTAGAATTACCTGGAACTTCATCATCATCTACTTCACAGGAATTGCCATTTGTAAGCAGTTTTTGGTACAACTTAAATATATACTTGAATGTATATACACAGGCCACTTAAAGGGAAGCTTAACTAATTTGTTCTTGGTTGCTTATCAATAAGTTCGTAGTTGGAAGCTAATGAACTTTTGGGAGGAAATTTTACTTTGATTTAAAAAATGTATCTGTGTGAGTTTGGCTCTTTAAAAATTTTCTACAAATGATTCCATTGAGGATTGGGCTAAGTTTTCACATGCATTTGACTGAGGTCAGGTTTAAATTTTCAAGATATACATATACATTTGATTAGCTTTCCAAAAACAAAAAAAGATGGGTGAGGTGTACCCTTTAATCTCCAGACTTGGGAGGCAGAGGCAGGTAGATCTCTTGAGTCCCAGGCCAGTTTATATAGTGAAATTCAGGTCAGCCATGACTATATAGTGGGACCCTGTTTCAGAAAAACAAAACCCAAACCAAAAACCATACACAAAAAACCAAAACCCCCCAAATTTTGATCTACTGGTGTCATTAGTGGAGGTGAACTTGTATGTGGCTTGGAGTCGTGTTTCCAGGTAAAGCGTGGCTCTTCCTGGGTGAGTTTTGCTGCAGATTATACTGTGCATTTTAGGCACAAATTTAAGTTGAAAAAAATGAGAAAACTTTGCTATCACTCAAAACATTTAATTTTTCTGAATTACTTGTAAAAGTTTCAGCAGCCTATGCTTTTGATAACTGCCACCATCAGGGTTAGTCTTGTTAATCTCTTAGTTTTAAAATTTGGAGTATGTATGTGTGTGCAAGCATGCACTTGTATAGAGAAATGGAGAACATCTCATGAGTCTTTTTTATTTGTGTGATAAATTATTGCTAGAGAGTGGTAAATGATAAGGTTCTTTTTAGAAACTGGGCAGAATTTCATGACTAGTTAATGACTAGTTAATGACCAGTTGACTTCTTTTAGCCTTGGTTCACCACTTCTAAAATTAGTACTTAATTTCTGAAAGATCTCTTTTTTATAGATCTGATTCTGATTTTGTTTCTGCTCAAACAGCGTATTGTCCTGGTCACTGGTAATGTCACCAGAGAGAATTATTTTTTTGTTGGGACGTCCACAAATACCTGAAAATACTACATAGAAAAAAATTTTATAGTATGATGATTCTTCTGAGTGCATTAAACATTGATTTTTACCTTAACGTCTCTGTTGATCTTTAAAGTTAGAGAAAATGTGGGTGTATCACTTTTGTTTCTGTTGATTGTTGATTTATATCTTGATATGCTTTAATACCCTGGTTTCTTAGTTTGGCAGTTAAAGATTTTTAAAAATTGCTGTGGTGGTTATCTTGAGTTTGTATTGTCCTGGATATATTAGGATG